AACATACAAGAGAAACCTGGTGGGGCTAGTATGGACCACTAAGCAAAGATGAAGCCAGATGAAAAGAACTTGTCTATCAAATAAAATACAAGCTATTTCTGTCCTCTTAGACTGAAAAATCTCTGAAAATTATTCGACTTTCCAATTCCATATAAGCCTAACATAAGACCACATGCAGGGTTGGAGGTGGGGGCCTCAATCAGTTCAAAGGACAAGTTAGCCCTGCTGCTAGTCCCCAGCGAACAAAGAGAGAAAGCTCAAAGTACGCCTGAAGCTGATACATAAAGGAAAGTTAAAAGGAAAGAAAAACTGTTTTAAGTATTCTCAATGGGGATTTTGCACACAGAAGACCCATTCTCTGCACATCTCTCACTCAGAAATTGGTGTAATTTAAAGAAATATTATTTCACCCCATTTCAAGGTCATTAGTTACACAGACTGCATGGAGAGACTGTGTGAATACTAAAGGAGGAGGAGACTGTAAATTATACCTTAAGCTTGAATCAACCCTAATGCCCTGGGCATGGGAGATGTGGGAGAGTGTATACGCCAAAAAGTTATTATCTAGGTACTCACAAATCTTGGCGAACACAGCATTGATCACACATTGGATGAAGACCAAAGTTAAGGCAAAGGTGAACGTCTCCTGCTTGGCTCCTTCTCCATACTTTCCTCTTGTTCTAAGAATAAAATGCAGAAGTAAGAGAGAGAGAAATTAATGTATTTCATTCATTGCTGTCTACTATGTCCACAGCCACTGAAAGCTTGAAAATTATCTTGCCTCTTTGGATGTAAGAACCATTAGGCTGATCTAAAAGAGGGGCTGGTATTCACTATAGAAATCATCTGTAAAGGATAGAGGTAGAGGAAACTAGATGAAAAACTAGTCGGTGAAATAAGACACCCCAAGCAGAAGATATTTGGGTTATAGCAATGAGGATAAGAGTGAAAATACAGGCTGTCTGCAAGCGTCTGAAATTTACACGACTTAGGGCTGTCTGAGGGTAGAAGTCCAGGCCTTTAGAACCAACGGAAGAGGGGGAAACAGCTAAGAGAAGTAAAATGACCAGATCCCGAGAATTCAAAGGCCAACTCTGTCATTTTGGAATTCTGGGCAAAAGTAGCAGGTTGCTGGGAGGCCAAGACAGCCAAGCGGGATGACAAAAAGAAAGCCCATGGCCATGGGCAGAAGACCCAAGAAACGTCCCCACAGGCTGGGAAGAGAAGACTGGATGTGGGGCAGGGGTAAGAGCAATGTCCGCGTTCCCGCCTTGGGGGTCGCTCACATCTTTTCCTGCAAGATCCCATAGTAGAAATAGCAGACAAAGACGCCCAGGAAACAGAGTGGCAGGCGCAGCCGGTCGGGCACCAAAGAGCTGCTAGAGGCCATGAGACGACCGGACAAGCCGACTGGAGACCCGCTCACAGCCGGCAGCGGTAGCGGCGGCCCAGGGGACAGCTCCAGGCGGACATCGCCGACCGGCGGCAGGGGCCTCATAGGAGATTCATGCGACTGCCGCTCAGCAAAGCCCAGAAGTCATTGCCAGAACTGCCAGCTCAGGGCTGCCGAGGAGGAAACTCCTCAGAACCCAAAAACCCTTTCTACGAAAGAAAACCCACACTGGGACGTTGGCTTAATCCCAGGGGGTCAGAGGAACTAGCTGTCTTAAGGGTAATGCCTTGCCCTCAAGGTTTTTCAAACAGGCAAGTCCAAGGGCAACTGCATCCCGGAGCTCGACGGGGTGGCCTAGGAGATGCTCCGACGTAAGGTGATGACGTATAAGGATGTGGAAGTCACCAATTGGCTGCGTTGTCCGAAGACAGACAGGTGGGCGGGAAAGGAGGCGGTGCGACCGCAAGGCAAACCAAATAGTCTATTTCTCTGCCGGAGGTCAGTGCTTCCGCTGGGTCCTAACAACAAGAAACTCCTTCTGGAGCTTCGGCGCCCTCTAGCTGCTGCCCGGCATCAGCGACTCTACCTACTCTACCAGGAGAGCATTGGAGGCCCGGCTTTTGATAGCAGTCCTCCACCTGCACATCACTAAGCTTTCAAGGGAATGAGTGGCACAGTAAGCGCTTGCAAGGTTGCTTGAAAGCATGGTAACTTTCATGTATCACCTACCTCTGAGCCATAGTTTTTCTAGTCTGTGAACTAGGGATAATTAGTAATAGCCACTCTGTTGCTCAAATAAATGAGCTGAGATTGGTGAAAGTGGTTTATAAAGTGTGCTGTGCAAGTTTAAGGTCTTATCATTAAGACTGTTTCTCAACTCTGATCTTATTTCATGTCCTGGAGGTGGAAATGGAAGCTTATTGAAGTGAACTTTCTTCAAGGGCTTATAACTCATTGACAATGGAGCAAACCTTTGGCTGCCCTCCAGAATCATTCTTCTTAATGAGCTCTTTATTGTACTCATCCAAATGTTGGGTGTCTACCTGCTAGCACAAATTGCCAGTGCAAGACCTACTCCAGGTCTACTAGCACTCTCAGCGTCCCCCTTCATAATTGGCCCAAATCTCAGACCGCCTGGTGTATTCTGGGTTGCTATCTTGGTAGAGGCTTAGCAGCCTGCTCCTTTGGCACAGCCTCAGGCAAAGGAAGGAAACTCTGGGCAGTACCACACCCATAGCTCTGGGCCTGACTCACTAAGGCTTTGGGGGTAAGCCAGACTTCTTTCAGGGGGAAGGGCAAGGGATAGAAGATAGGATGTATTCCCAGCCCACTGTCTCTTTTATATTAGTGGGGAAGGGGATCCTCACACATTTTTCTTTCCCAGTATGAAGAAAAGTGCTCTACTCCATCAGTCCATGATGGCAGGGTACCAAACAGCAGGTGGGATGAGAGACCTGAGTTTCAGTCCCATCTCTGACTCTTTACCAGCTGGGACCTCAAACAATTCCCTTGTCTGAGTCAAATTTCCTCATGTGAAATTAATGGGAATACAATAACAAGCAGGAGAGCACTGTGGTTAGAAACATGGGCACTGGATTCAAATGATCAGGTTTCCAATACTAGCTCCCCAACTTTGTGTCTTTGGGGTAAAGTTATTCAACCTTTTTGTTCTTCCATCATTATACAGTGGAACTTACTGCATTTCTTTCATTGTGTGGTTGTCCTATTTCAATGACTTTTTTTTTTTGAGACTGAGTCTCACTTTGTTGCCCTCAGTAGAGTGCTGTGGTATCACAGCTTACAGCAACCTCAAACTCTTGGGCTTAAGTGATTCTCTTGCCTTAGCCTCCCAGCTAGCTGGGACTACCGGAGCCCACCAGGACATCTGGCTGTTTTTAGAGATGAGGTCTTGCTCTGGCTCAGGCTGGTCTCAAGTTCTTGAACGCAGGCAATCCACCTGCCTTGGCCTCTCAGTTCAATGACATTTAATGTAAAGAACTTGATGCACTATCTAGTGTTTCCCAAACCAATGAATGATGATTAGGATAGCCTTGTGGCAGTCTTATGAGTAGATACTGTTGTACTTATTGTCCTTGGGGTAGCCAGCTTTTCACCCATACAATGGAAATGATGTGTCTTTTGTGAAAAGGCTTTTGGATGGTTTTTCCCATTTTCCCCAAAGCTCTTACAGCTATAGCACTATAAAGCTGAGAGGCTGCAAAAGGACAAAGAGGACAGTTTCTTTGTACCTTCTAAGGTTGCACCCTCCAGAGTTGTGGGTACTGAGATGGGAAGACTACCTAAAAAGAGCTAAGGCTTTCCTAAAACTATGCCAAGAGATGTAATCTAAATGTTGTTCTCTAGGGTTTTGTTTGTTTGTTTGAGACAGTCTCAACCTGTCACCCTGGGTAGAGTACCATGGTGTTACAGCTCACAACCTCCAACTCTTGGGCTTAAGCAATTTCCTTGCCTCAGCCTCCCAAGTAACTGGGACTACAGGTGCCCACCACAACACCCAGCTATTTTTTTGGTTGTAGTTGTCATTGTTTAGCAGGCCTGGGCTGGATTCGCACTCGCCACCTTTGGTGTACGTGGCTGGTGCCCTAGCCGCTGAGCTACAGGTGCCAAGCTATGTTATCTGGTCTTGTTCCCCTTGCCAGAGCAAGGAACACCCACCACATCAAACTGTCTATCTTTGGTTACCTTCTTACTTCTTTCCCTCTCTGAAATCCACTCTGGGCCAGGCACAGTGGCTCACACCTTCAAGTCCAAGACTTTGAGAGGCTGAGGCTAAAAAACCCTTTGAGGCAAAGTGTTTTGAGACTGGCCTGGGCAACATAAGAATCTGTCTCTGGCTCAGTGCCTGTAGCTCAAGCAGCGAAGGTGCCAGCCATGTACCCCAGAGCTGGCCGGTTCGAATCCAGCCTGGGCCTGCCAAACAATGACAACTACAACCAAAAAATAGCTGGGCATCGTGGCAGGCACCTGTGGTCCCAGCTAGTTGGGAGGTTGAGGCAAGAGAATCGCTTAAGCCCAGGAGTTGGAGGTTGCTCTGAGCTATAATGCCACTGCACTCTACTCAGGGCAACAGCTTAAGGCTCTGTCTCAAAAAAAAAAAAAAAAATTTTGTCTCTACAAAAAAATTAAAAATTTATGGGGTATGGTGGCACATGCTTATAGTCCCAGCTACTCAGGTTGAGCCAGGAGGAAGGCTTGAACCCAGGAGTTTGAGATTGTAGTGAGTTATAATGGGACCACTACAGTCTAGTCTGGGTAGAGTTCAGATCCTATCTCAAAAAATAAATGAAATGAAATCCACTCTCCCTATGGAGTTTTCCCAGACTCACACAAGAATGGGTAACTTCCCCAATGGCACCCGCATCCCACCTCCATGACAAACCACACTCTTCATTCTGGATAGCTTTTTTATGAGTCTGCTGTTTATGTGTCCATGTGAAGTGTTCGAGCATGGTGTCCAGAGGACAGGAACTCTCTGTCCAGCACACACCCAAATGTGTTAACTAAAGGCTTCCTCTCTTGAAGATGAGGATGAAGTGCTCAATATAAAACTCTCAATCTCTGCCCCACTCCAAATATTTAACAGAACTTCAAATTGCTGGGAATACTTATTTATTTGGTCTATTAACACCAAGATCTGCAAAAACAACCTCTAAACACAAGATAAGAAAACTTAAACATTAACATTCTTCTTCAGTTTTGTGTAGCTCTGCAGTACGGAAAATATACAAACTTCAAACAGCTGCAAAAATAGTGTCTTTGGGAGAAAATAGAGTTTCTACATCGATACAAGAAAAATAGGCATTTTCTAATCCAACCTAGCCCTGGGGCAGGGTGTAGAGTTGTCATTTGCCACTTAAAGAAATGCCAGCTCTCTCCCCCACTACCCACCTGGGGCTGGGTAGGCTGGGCTGCTGCTTAAGACAATCTTTAGTCAGGGTGAAAGCGAGATGAAAATGCCATTTGGGAAAACGCTTGGTTCCCCCCTCTGCCAGCAGCTGAATTGGTCAAGTGTGATGGCCCTTCAGGGTTGCTTTGGTCAGTTCCTCCAATGAGAGGGAGGCATGGGGACAGGGCTGAGAGGATGAGGGATCTATCCTCTGGTCTCTTCTTCTGTGCCTATGGAGGAGGAGAGGGAAGGAAATCTGTAGCATCCCCTCTCCTTTGGTCACGGCCAGCTTGCTCTGCAACAAAAATAAGGGTCTCCTGGATAGTCACTGAGACTCACTCACGCCCAGGGGTGAGAGACTCAGGACCTTCTGGGTGAGTTTTCCACCAAGTAAGGGAAGTGGCAGGTACACAAATGTGAGTTGTGAGCTGCCAAGCTGCTAGTGGAGAAGGCAAATCCCCTCATATTCTGAGGGGCTGGTGCCCATCAAAAGAGGACCTGGGGCTTTGACACAATAACTGAAAGTGCTCAAAGGCCGAGAGGGAAGGGCTCCTCTGTCTCCCACTTCTGGGGAACTAGGGAGGGGCCTGCCACCAAGGCACTGGTCTCCATGGTAAAGTGGGGGATGGTAACCTCAGACCACCAGGGAGCTCTGGAAAAGCACAGGTTCTTCTGAAGGAGGAGTGCGCTGCCATGGCTCAAATGGCAGCGGAGAGGCCTTGGAGGTCTCTGGATCCTTCCGAGGTGGTGGTCTGGGGCTTGCAGGGGGAAGGGGAGAGCCTGGGCTTGAGGGGCAGTTTCGGAAGATGAAACCCATGCTGGGGAACAGGGGCTTCATCAAGCTGACGGGGCAGAAGGCTGAGCCGGTCGGGTTGAAATGGACTTTGTTCTTGTCGGGACAGGAAGCCAGGAAGGCCAAGTCAGGACCTGGAGACCTGGAGGATGGAGAGACACACACAGACACACATGTACACACACAGAGAAACAGCCAGTGAGACAGGGTGAGAGGTGTTGAGGCATCAGGGGAGCAGGGTCTCTGTTCAAACAGGGGAGTAACTTGACCAAAAAACAAAGGCTATAGTCTCTAGGCCCCTCAGCTCTCCATTTTTAAAAAAGAGATGCCTAGGCTCAGTGCCCATAGCTCAGTGGTTAGGGTGCCGGCCACATACACTGGGTCTGGCGGGTTCAAATCTGGCCCAGGCCTGCTGAACAACGACAACTGTAACAACAACAAAAACAGCCG